CGAGCTCGACGCTCGCCCCGCTGCCACTCCTCGGCCGCTGGCCTGCCGGCCGCGGGCCCCGGAGCGGCGTCGCCGGCCCTTTTCTCTCCCGAGGGCCCGGTGGAGCCGCGAGGGGAGGGCTGAGGGGATCTTCGGGTCCTCCCAGCCCCCGTGGACACCCGCCAGGGGCCTCCGTACCTGGTCGGCTCCACCCGCGGCCATCTTGGAAGTGGGAAGCGGCCGGGAGGGGGAAGGGGCACGAGCGGGCAGGGACCAGGCGTGGGGAGCCGAGCGGCGGAGCGCATCGATGGGCGCCCCTGTCCCGGGGCAGGTGTGCCGGGCGGACGGGCCCGAGCCCGGGACGTGCGGCGCGGAGAACTGGGGTCGGCGTCATCCCGGCCCGGCCTTAGTCTCTTGATCTGTGAAACGGGCTTTTCTGGTAGTTCTCCTTCGTCGAGCTGTTTCACGGTGCCTAGCGCCGTAGTTCCCACACTTGGCTGCACTTTAGTGTCGCCTGAGGATTTTGAAAATTCCGACGCCCATGCCACGCCCCAGCCCTATTAAATCACAGCCTCTGGAGGTGGGATACAGCTTGGGCCGGGTCTGTGGTAAAAGCCGTCCTGCAGAGTGGGAGAGGAGGTCGCTGGCCCCGGGTCCCAGAACGGGGCCGGAGCAGGGAGGGGTCAGAAGCCAGGTGCTCCGTCCGGAACGGCCTTCCAAGACCAGGCGAAGCCCTCCTCCGAGAATCTAGGCTCCTGGGGCCAAAGCGGGATTATCTTGTGTCCTGCTGCGTTCCCGGGGCTGGCACGTAGCTGGCACTTAAATACCTGCTGCATTGTTATATTCGGGAGACATCAAGAGCAGAGGAAAGACTTCAGTGGCTGGGACCCGGGAGGCCTGGGGTCCCACACTAGGCTTGGAGCCCTTGAGGCTGTCCGTGGCAGAACTAACCAGAGAGGAAACATAGGAGAGACGGATCAGCTGAATCCGAAGGAGGGCTTGAATTGGCAGAGCAGTCAGGGACAGGAAGGGTAATGTCTGCTTCACTATCTGGAAGACTGCAGTGGAAGATGAATTTGTCGGAGCCAAGGTCATTAGTGTTGGGCCAAGGAACCCCTGGCTTGTTTCTCCTGCCTGCGTCCTCGGTCTAAAAACTTTTGTGGGACACCGGGGTGGCTCAGTCGGTTAAGCACCTGCCCAGGGTCCTGGGATGGAGCCCTCCAACGGGCTCCCTGCTCAGTGAGGAGCCTGCTTCTCCTTCTCCCACTCCCCCTACTTGTGCTCTCTCTCTGTCAAATAAATAAAAACTTAAAAAAAAACCAAAAAACTCTTAGCCCCTATTAGTTATGATGGCAGGAGAGGTGAGAAATAAAAAGGCAATCTCTTAAGAGAATATATTAACACCCCTTTACAGTGCTTGGTGCAACACAGAAGTTTTACGAATGCTTACATTTCTGGGTGGTTTTAAGGAACAAACACTGGGTCTCCTTCAAACTCCAACACGCCTTCCCCTGCTTATTTTAAGGAAACACTAACAGGAAAGTACAGACTTGCTTCGGGCCTGACTTAATTAGCAACTTAATAAATAGGATTACTAAGTCTGCCCTTAACAGTGTTCCTTGCAATGCCCCCAAATCCCCTCCTGCTCTCATTCTGAGTCTTAGGGTTTTAAAACCCCGCAATGACTAAGAACCATTGTTCTGAAGCCAGAACTAAAAAAATAAAAATTATGGCCCACAGATTGACATGTGGCGCCCTCTGTCTGCCTTTTCCTCACCCTCTCCCCATCCTGCCACCCACCCCCAGCTCCCTGCCCCAGCCCAGAGCCCCCCTCCCTGGGGCCCATCAGTCACTTACACCCTCAGTGAGCCTAACAATTAAAAATACAAGGAACGAGGGCGCCTGGGTGGCTCAGTTGGTTGGGCGACTGCCTTCGGCTCAGGTCATGATCCCGGAGTCCCTGGATCGAGTCCCACATCGGGCTCCCTGCTCGGCAGGGAGTCTGCTTCTCCCTCTGACCCTCCTCCCTCTCATGCTCCCTGTCTCTCATTCTCTCTCTCTCAAATAAATAAATAAATCTTTAAAAAAAAAAAATACAAGGAACGAGATAAGCTGTGTGGGCGCCTGCACCCGTCACCTGTGAGAAACTGGGCGCCTCCCAGCGCCCATCCGTACATATTTTAGGGTGGCCCGAGCCATGTCCCAGCTCTGCGGCCTCACTGCTGACTGCCTTGGCAAAGCCATCCAGCCTCCCCCATGCAGACTGAACCCCGAGATCCGCAGAATGATTCTCAGCCCAGTGGTTCCTTTGAGGGCTGCAAAGCCATTGCATGAAGTAGACGAGCACTGGCCGTCAGCTCCCTTGGCTCAGTCCCACGCCCAGGACTGGCTGACCGTCCTTGGCTGTGTCCAGAAGCCTTTCCCCATCTGCCAGGCTCATAGCACCTCCACCACCCACGCTGTGTGAGGATTAAAGACAAAGTAAGTGGCAGTGACGGTTAAATGTAAAAAACTGTCTGGCTTGGTCAGTTTCTGGCATGTTTGGGGAGCTCTTGGCACCTCCCCAGTAATATGGTACAGAGAAAGTATTGGTCAACCCGCCGAGGTGAGGGGGGATGTGGGCCTCCTCAGAGAGCCCACGGAGGGACTTCAGGCCTGACCTCCGAGCCTCCCTGGGCTTACTAAGCAGGAGGAGGTGCCAGACACCCACAGAAACCACCCCTGTACCAGCCCCGTGCTGGACCCTGGCCACACCAGGGTGACTGACAGCCCACAGTTCCTGCCCTCACAGATCCCCAGTCTCGAGGGGCAGATGGACATGTCATCTCACCAACTCAGCCCCATCTCCTTGCAAGGAAATGATTCGCTGACCAGATGCAGACCCCAGAAGGGTCTTAAGCACAGCGTCAGGACCCTTACAGATCCTCAAGCCCATCCCTCAGAGGGGAAACTGAGGCCCAAAGGGCAGGTGGGGTAGGAGGTAGGCACAGGATGAGGCCAGAGGCCTCTTGCCCTGCAATACCCCTTTGCATCTCTTCTCAGGAGATATGGGGATCTAGTCTCCCAAACACACATTTTGCCCCTGACTTCCCCACCCAGCCCCCGAATGTGAGCTCCATAAATATCTGCTGAATGGATGGATAAATGCTGCTCAACGCTGCATCTGTACCTGGAGCCATCCCAGGCACCCTGTGCCATCCTGGCTGTTCCACCCCATTATCACAGTCAAGCCCCACAACCTGCCAAGCTTGCACAGTGACTTGAATTTTGCAGGTAAGGAGACAGGCGCTGGGCAGTGAGGCTGCCCGGTCCAAGGGCTCACAGCATGTTTTCCACTGCCCAGAAGCCCTCGCCCGCTCGCCATCCCCCCTCCCATCCTCCTTGTCCCCAGCCTCTGTTCGAGCCACCAGGGCCAGACCGTCCCCACGGGGCAGAGGCAGAGTGCCCAGCCCTCATTTATTTCAAAAGAGCTTCCCCTCAGCCCAAGCATTTTCCGAAATCCAACAGAAAACTCATCCTTTCTGCCTTTATTCCTTGGAGGGCTACCTCCTTCACCACGGACATGGGAGTGCTCACTTTTTGGAAATGCCTGGAATTTGGGGTTCTCTTGTTACTTCTGGAAATTGAGCAATATAATAAAAGTAACAAATAAAAAAATAAAAACAGAGGCAGGGGTAGCCCGGGAAAGCTGGAGGCCAGGCTTCCTACAGCCTCAGCCCAGAGAAGACCGCCAGAGACACAGAGATGGAAGAATGAACCACCAGGGAAGCCACCACAAAGCCTCTGCACTTGGCTTCAAGAAGCGGCCCTCAGACCCTCACACCAGAGCCATCAACTGGCATTTCACTCCCAGTTTTAACAGGTGCACTTACCTGTTTCCTACCTGCACTGGGTTCAACTCACTGAATGCAGGGAGGCAGATGTCCTCGTAGCAACACTTTCATGAACGAAAGAAGCTCCAGCAGAGAAGGAAGCAAAAGAAAAAAAGTGTAACACGCAGAATCTCTTTGGTCTATTGAAACACTTGAAAGGAGCTAGCCTTAGAAAGTTACCCCAAATTTCAGGCAAAGACTATTGTAAAAAGATGTTCACCGGTGTTATTTGCAATAGTGAAATGGACATAACGTACATGTCTGATCATAGGGGAGATTAAACAGAGAGACTCATAGGCAACCATTAAAAAGTGTTTATTATAGCACAGAAGAAAAGCTTAAGTTGTAAGAGTGATAACTGAATTTTAGGTAAAGTATAAGCAAAGAAAATGGAATACGCATCATCCACAGGCATGAACAGGAAGAAGTAACACTGAAATGAGTCTCGGAACACACGCTTGATTCTGTCCCTATATATTTTTGAAACTTAGATGTCCCCATGACAAGGATATGCTCTATTTATAACGCAGATGGGCTAGGATGCTCACTGAGGGGTAACCGGCAGACTTCGGTAAACCGTCCGATGAGGGCTCCGTGCCCGGGGCCCCTTCTTACCAAAGCCCTTAAAAAGCAAGCAACGATCCGTGCTCATGCTCCAAGAGGTAGGGATCCGTGCACAGCCAGGCAGCACGACAGAGCCGCGTGGCGGCGGTCTGTGCGGCCCACCCTCTGTCACAGCGTCTCTAGGCCCCCTAGTGACCCTACAATGCACTACTGTTGCCCTGTTTCACTGGGCATGCTTGAACCCAGGTGGATCTGGCCCAGAATCAAAGGTCACTCATTCCCAGAGCATCCCAAGTAACTGGCTGGACAAAGTGAGTTACAATGAAACCAACAGACCCTCTGAATTAGGGAATGCGTGGCCTTGCCGGAGGCGGCGGGGTGGGGAGGAGACCCAGGGGACCCCCTGTGGCCTCGGGCTTACTGAATCTTCTTTTTTTTTTTAAGATTCTATTTATTTATTTGACAGAGAGACACAGTGAGAGAGGGAACACAAGCAGGGGGAGTGGGAAAGGGAGAAGCAGGCCTCCCGAGAAGCAGGGAGCCCCATGCGGGGCTCGATCCCAGGACCCTGGGATCATGACCTGAGCTGAAGGCAGACGCTTAACGACTGAGCCACACAGGCGCCCCTCAGGCTTACTGAATCTTAAGAGGGGCTGGAGGCCTTAAAGGTTCTAGATATAAAGGAAACAGTGCCTGGGGGCAGGCCACACACACACACCCCCCACCCCCCACCCCCGGCATGCACACCACAGCGGAATGTTCCAAATAGCCGTGTTTTTTAAAGGATCATCCAGTTGCCTGCTGCTGTCACCCTCAGAAAGCAAAGCCTGGTT